TCTGTGTGTGTGTTTTTCTATATATATATATATATATACACACACACACACACACACATATACATATATATACACATATACATATATATATATTCTTTTTATATTTATTGTTAATTTCATAAGTTATACTATATAATATATATATATGTGTGTGTGTGTGCGCGTGATATATACACACACACACACCCACACTTCACTACTATTTCTATAGTCACTAGATTGTACAAAATTTTATTTTTAATTTTAACTGAATAGGTACTTGGAATTGGAATTTAAATATCCTCAAAGAAGAATGGTAAAAGATTAAACATCCTTAAAATACATTTATCTGAGAACAAAACTATGAAAAAAGATAGCAAGCAGAAAAATATGAAATAAACATTTGAAAGTCACTAGACTGTAGAAGATTATACACTGCTACATGGCTGCATTTGGGGGATTCTAACAAAAATAACTATGGTGATATACAGTATACTGCTAGCATGATATGAAATGACTTGGAGACTGAGCTTCTGGTCAGACTGTGCTCTCAGAGTGTGTGTGTGTGTGTGTTTGTGTTTGGATGTGTGTTGTCTCTCACCGTGCAGACACCTGCTCTGACACACTCCTCCCCGCGTGTGACAAAACACTCTGCAGCAGCTTCACTGTCTGCTCCTTCATCCAGCCCACATCCTCCTGAATGTCTGGCAACCACTCCAGCAGTCTGAGACAGAGAGAGTTCAAGAAAATACATTTCAAAGTGTAATGGCATCTTTTTTTATGACTGAAGGCCAGTATCACTGATACCAATACTACTGATGTCTCTATAAAATTGCCCCCCCCCCCAATATTTAAGCATTGACTATAGTCATTCAACATTACAGTGTAAATGAGAGCTATCAATTTTAATAGACTTAATAGACTTAAAAAATAACTTCTAATTTAAGTGAACTTAAAACAATCTTCACATAAACCCATTATAATACATGTCATATTTACCTGTGCCCTTCAGCAGAAATATACAGAAATTGAAATTATCAAACACTAAATTCTAAATTAAATATAGATGAATCCTTAAAGCTATAAAAGCTTATATAAAAGCTCCTCATTTTTCTTTTGTTCTTTGATGAACAGACATCACAGCAGCTGGTATTTGGTATATTTTTAACGCGCTCATTTTGACACCACTAATATAAATATATATATATATATATATACTTTATTTATTTCAAATTTATACCACAAATTAATTTACATTCTACATTAGATGAGTATTGCATGAACATCTGCTCTGGTCATGTCCAGAGTTGTGATGAAGTCTGTACCTGATGCTCAGTGACAGAGCTGATTCTAGAGGAAGTGTGTACGGTAACAGGATGGCAGATGCCATTCTAACGGGCAGCATGTTGCTTAGCGACTGCAACAGACTCCGCCTCTCCCTACAGGCCTCCACCAGCGCTGAAGAGAGAACAACAACCACACAGTGAACATCTAACACATTACAACGCTGCTTCAGTGAATACCAGACTAGTTAACATAGTCCTGCTATCTGTCAGTACCTTTATGTACTCTAGGAGGCAAGTGTTCAAAGATGCGCTCCTCAATGCTGGAGAGATCCTGTGTTTCTCTGTCATCTCTGTTCTCTGACTCTTCATCATCCTCACTGTCAGACTCTTCCTCATCCTCTCCACCAGCTACGGCCAGCATACAGTGTGGACCTCGATACTGTAACAGACCTGAAACACACATACGCACAGTGAGGAAGAGAGCTGAGATCACTCATAAAGCGGCGGTTCACACAAAAAAGAGTTCCAAGATCTACTTGGTAAACAACACACAATTTGTATGGGCGACTTTTATTGGGTTTTTATGGCACTTTATGTCATTTATAGAGCTTAAGAGCTGTGAAAGTGGAGGAACATTCTACTAAATGAG